TTTTTGGTAGCACCTTACATGTCTGGATGTTTGAAACCCCACTAGGTCCGACCTGTTAATTTACCAATGGGGAAGTTAAAAGACTGAAGGCCAGTGGTGGCAGATGTGGGCCTAGAATCCCTGCTGGTGGCTCGGCATGGTCCCTGTCTACACAGTGGAGTCTCTGTGCTGTGGGGAAGGTGGGCCAGCTGCCAGAACCTATAGCAGAGTGTGGGCTTGCAGAATCCTTGGGTTCTGAGTCCTCCTGTCTCTCTGGGCCTCAGTCCTGTCTGTGAATGAAAAGGACTTGCTGCACATAGGGTTGCTGCGGGGACAAAGTGAGATAATGCGTGTGGAACCAGATGGTGCCTGGCTGGCAGGAGGCTCTCCATAAACAGCGCTCACCTTCTGTAGCCCCGTTCTTCCCAGGACTGGACTGTGCCAGTGCACACCTTTTGCCAGTCTTGTAAAGCTAAGAACATTTGGGAGTTTTGCCCTTTCCGCGGCTTATGTGAAATAACAAAGCCAAGAGCCCAAACTGGCCTGTCCGCACCAGCAGGGAGTGAGTCTGGGTTTTCTCTCTGCAGAGTTTATAGAGAGGCAGCATGCAAAGAGCAGGTATTACTACTACCACCGGGAGTTCCGCCGCGTGCCGGACGTCACCGAGTGCCAGGAGGAAGACGTCTTGTGCATGTTTGAAGCAGAAATGCAGTGGAGAAGAGATTAGTACGTCCTGCCTTTTGGTTTCATTCTGTCAGGGAATACTGAGCCCTACGCAGACATACCCTGCTGGGCCATCATTCCTTTAGGAGATGGGATGGCATATTGCACAGGGCTGTGTGGCCCTGCTTTCATTGTTTTCCCTGGGGACAGGGAAGGGATTCCTTGTGGACCATGTTTTTTTGTCCCTTTCACTTTCAGCAAAGTCGATCAAGAAATTGTCAACATCATCCAGGAAAGGCTGAAGGCCTGTCAGCAGAGGGAAGGCGAGAGCTACAAGCAGAACTGTGCCGACGAAGTGGAGCAGTTTACCCAGGTGGCCAAGGCTTACCAGGACCGCTGTAAGCAAGCTCCACCCCAGCCTGACCCCCAGTCCGCCCAGTCCCCACGCAGGTGTGGGCTTCTAGTCTTATTGACTGCTTTCCAACCGTGTGCCGCATGTGATTCCCTACCACCACCACACCCAAAGCTTGCAGTCAGGGTGGCCAGTGGGGTGCAGCTACTGAGAAACTGCCTGGCCCCGTTCTGCTCAGCTGCCCAGCCCGTGTGCGCGCGTGGGGGAAGACCTCAGTCCCTATCACGGCCCAAGTGGCCCATGATTTCCCTCCCATCTTGTTCCTAGATCACGACCTGGGTGCCCACTATTCTGCCAGGAAGTGCCTGGCAAAACAGAAGCAGAGGATGCTGGCAGAGAGAAAAGCTGCTAAAGAGGCAGCTGCTGCCTGAGCTGGCTGAAGCTCCCACATACTGTCACTATTACAAAAATAAAGAGTCATGAAAGCTGTTTCTCATGTCACCTTCAGGCTCTACCCCCGACACACTGATGAGCTTTACGCTGATTCCTGTCATTGCCTCCCGTCTCTCTTCCACATTCAGTCATCACCAGACTTGTGAGAGAAAGAAACAAAAACCAACTATTGAGTTGGCAACTTATTCACTTTATTTTACTTGTAGTAAACTATGTGGTGGCCACAGCTGGAGCCTGGGTCCTCTGCACAGAGACTCTGGTGTGGGTCTTTACAAGATGGTCAGTAAATTCCTAAAAAGACAGAAAACGCTTTGGTTGCAGCTGGACATACCACCTCTACACCTGGCTAGGTAAAATGGCGGCAGGGCAGGCAGTACCTGGTATGGAGACTTGGTGAACACTGTCTCTTTCCAGAGATCAGGGGTGAGATAGCTATAGGTCTTGGAGATGGCATCAAAGGTGGCCTTAGCTGGAAAAGGGAGAGCATAAGACGGTTGGTGGGGGGTCACTGAACACCCCACGTGCAGGCAGCTGTTGCACTCCTAGGAAGAGAGGCCACTTTGGGCCAGTCTGCCAAGCATTAGGAAGGCATTACTCTCCCTCTCTCTCTTTCAAAGTACACCAAGCACACAGTGATTGAGGAGAGCCGAGAGGCCACAGCCTGTGTGTGGGACACCTACCAAAGTTGCCCAGGGTGGCCGTGCAGCCCCTGGCTGAAGTGTAACAGTCATCAATACCAGCCATCAGCAGCAGCTTCTTGGGCACAGGGGCAGAGACGATACCAGTGCCCCTGGGGGCAGGGATGAGGCGCACCGGCACAGAGCCACAGCGGCCAGTCACCTGGAAATGGCGGAGGAAACAGGAGATGGGCTGGAGTCTGCACCACTACAGGGCCCACCACTCATCATCACCCACCTACCTTACAAGGGACAGTGTGAGGCTTGCCAATCTTGTTCCCCCAGTAGCCTTGCCGCACAGGGACAATGGAGAGCTTGGCTAGAATGATGGCCCCACGGATGGCAGTGGCTACTTCCTTGGAGAACCCAAGCCAACATGTCCGTTGTAATGTCCAATGGCGACAAATGCCTAAGACGAGAACACTGGCTGGTGAGCCACTAGCCTGCACACCAACAGTAACTACCACCCAGGGCCTGTCGTGCTCCTCAAGGGAAGAGTAGCCACCATAAGGCCAATCTGAGGTCCTGAGGAGCTCCTTTCTCTCTCTCCCATTTACGAAAGTCACACGTGTGTCAACTAGTGTGACTGTGCAGAGCTGAGAGAGTCTCACAAAACCCCTAGAAAGAAACGGCCCAGAAAAGCACAAGACGACTGGGCTACCTTGAACCTGGTCCGCTGACCAGCTCGGGTCTGCTTTTGCACAGGCATAATCTTCAAGACGTCATCCTTGAGAGATGCCCCCAGGAAAAAGTCAATTATTTCAGACTCCTACAAGGGAAAAGATTCGTGGCGAATACGTTTATCGAGTTTGAAACAATGCCCATCCACAACCACACGTCACTGGGTGCCCTTCAACAAACAGAGCTGCTCATCCAGTCTTTACTTTCCAGGCGGAAAACCAGTGTCAGACGTGGGACACCCACGCATCACACCACCTCTCAAACGTGAAGCCTGGAGCCCCTCAAAGGCAGATCTCATCCCTCCACCCCGAGAAAAAAGCTCCCTGGGACCCCACCTGCCCAAAGCCCGTTCCAGGGACAAAGGGCCCTCGTGTTATCTTGATGGGAAGCGAGAAGAGATAGATCTCCTCCAGCGATTTGATCTTCATATCTTTGACCAGGCGGCCCAGCTTGGTGACAGGGATCCACTGCAGGGGGAAAAGGCGCCGGTGACCAGGGCCGCCTGCCAGGCACCGTCCACGGGCCACTTTGACCAGGCGGCCCAGCTTGGTGACAGGGATCCACTGCAGGGGGAAAAGGCGCCGGTGACCAGGGCCGCCTGCCAGGCACCGTCCACGGGCCTGTCCCACACGGTTGGTCCGGACCTACCTCTTTGTCCTTGGCGGACCGAGGGGTGAATGGGATCGCAGCAGGCCGAGGGGGCGGCGGGCGGGTGGGTGGAGATTGGGGAGAAGGCTTCCCACCAGCTCGGTGAGGAGAAATCCCAGCAGCTTGATGAGAAGCCCTCCCACGACACGGCTCAGAAAACCTCCCATGAGCAGCGATCAGCGAGGTCTGTCCGGGTAGCGAGCGAGCGACCAAAGTCCGCGGCTTCTCTACCAGACTGACTTCCTCTGCCAGCGCGCCTGGGGCAGGGGCGAGGCGGGCATTGTCCACGGGCCCGTCCCACGCGGTTGACCCGGACCTGCCTCTTTGTCCTCGGCAGACCGAGGGGTGAATGGGATCCCCGCGGGCCGAGGGGGCAGTGGGCGGGCAGAGCTGCTGAGGAGGGCCGGGCGGGCCGGTGGGCGGAGATTGGGGAGAAGGCTTCCCACCAGCTCAGTGAGGAGAAATCCCAGCAGCTTGATGAGAAGCCCCACCAGCTTGGTGAGAAGAACCCCCACCAGCTTGATGAGAAGCCCCACCAGCTTGGTGAGAAGAACCCCCACCAGCTTGATGAGAAGCCCCACCAGCTCGGTGAGAAGAACCCCCACAACTCGGCTCAGAAAACCTCCCATGAGCAGCGATCAGCCAGGTCTGTCCGGGTAGCGAGTGAGCGAGCGTTCGGAGTCCAAGGCTTCTCTACCAGACTGACTCCCTCTGCCAGCGCGCCTGGGCAAGGGGACGCTCAGCCCCCGTGAACCCCATGGCCCCCCACCCTCCCCTGCCCAGCTCCCTCCCAGCTACATCCGGGAATGTTGGGGCCATGAGCAGCATCCTGGGGGAGCAGGTGCGGGCCAGCCACAGGGCAGCACCACCACAGAGCCAGCACAGGACTTTCTGATGTACGCCCTGCCAAGGTTCTAGAAGCTTCAGGGGGTGCCTCACCGTGTGCCTGGCTCACATCAAGGGCCGTGGCCCTGTGGCCTCTACCTCCAGGGAGCAGCTGCCCATAGTCCCTCACGGATGTGCACTGACCAGGATTGGCCCTGACTTGGCGTGGGGACACTCTGCCAGCCCCAGGGAGCCATGACGACTCAGCACTTATCCCAGGCTTGGGCCCCAGGGAGCACCTGTGGGGGGCCTGGGCTCCCCGACAGCCTTACCTAGCCGCCGGAACCCCTCTGTGCCACTGATGGGGCCTGGAGCAAGGCTGTTCACACCGGACCCCACTCCACAGCCAAGTGCCTCGTCATGGCATCTGCACGGAAGGAAGGGAGGCATGAGGGAGAAGCAGGGCTGCTCTGCCTCCTGGGGGCGCTGGGTGCAAGTGGGGGCTCAGGGCTGGGGCCGGGCCTCTCCACTGCCCATCGCTGGACTGAGCATCACACGGGTACTGCAGGCCTCCCGGGACAGACAGGGGGGGACTTGACAGGAACCCAGGCAGCAGACCAGAGGGGTGCCCGTACCCACGGCCGCCTTGGCAGAGCCTGTGTGCACTTGGAGCACCCGCCCCCGGGTACCCAGGGTCACGGTGATGCTCACCATCACCCCTCCGTGGTCCTGCAATACACAAAGCAGGCGATGAGCCGGCACGAGAGGAGGGGCAGCCCGGCCCAGAGGACACGCACCCGGAAGAACCTCGTAAAGCACCCGAGTCCCAAGGCATCGATGTCCATCACAGTCTTGAAGGCATTGAAGGACAACACGCTAGCAGGGCACAGGAAGTGTCCAGCCACACCTGTAGGTGAAAGGAGACAGCAGATGGTGCCGGAGCCCTAGGTAGTTAGAGTCCAGGCTGGACAGGGAGAGAGACCTGGACATTCGGACAAAATCCTGAATGACAGGGGCAGGGTGGATGTATTGGGTTGTGTCCCTCAAAAAGCTACGTTGAAGTCTTTACCCCTGGGACCTGCACACTTGACCTTAGTGGGAAATGCAATCTTTGCAGATGTAATCAAGTTAAGATGAGAGCATACTCTATTCAGGTGGGCCTAACGCCAAGGACAGGTGTCCTCAAACAAGAAGAGAGGATACAGACACACAGGGACATGGCTGCGTGGGGGAGGAGGCAGAGGCTGGAGCGAGGCGACGCCAAGCCCAGGGGCGCCCAGGACGCCAGCAGCACCAGAGGCTGAGAGGGGCCAGGACAGAATCCCCACTGGGTGCTTCACAGGACTGCAGCCCTGCCAGCACTTGCTTTCAGGCTTCTGGCCTCCAGAACAGGGAAACAACTTCTTTTAAGCCCCACAGCTTGCAGTCCTTTGGCAGCCACAGGAAACGAATATACTGGACGTTTGAAGAAGGAATTTCAGCAAAACGTGAACCTTCAGTTAAGGACTATGGTTAACAATATGTGTCCACATTGGTTCATCAGTATCAAAACCACAAGATGTTAACAATAAGGAACCCTGCGAGGGGCGATTTGCAGAATTCTGTGTACTATCTGCTTGATTACTCCATAAATCTAAACCTACTAAACTCGTACAGTCTATTTCTTTTCTTTTTAAGGGGGAATTTCAAGACACTCCTCACTGTGGGTCACGGAGGACAGGCTGGACGGGAGGGAGTGCCAGGGTGTCTGGGGCCTCCGTCGCCCCTGCAGTATGTGCAGGGCTGAGCGAGCCATGAGCTGGAAGGTAAGCGGTGGGAGCCAGACGCCAGCTGGCCCTAGGGTGGTGGAACCATTGCCCTGCGGTGACCAGGGAGGGAAGGAGGAAGACAGGACGCTGAGCGAGCCCAGAGGCAGCGGGAGGGCAGGGGCTGTGGTGGGAGAGAGAGCTGCCCAGGCCTTTCTTCGTCCTCCTCTGGCGGGTCCTGAGGCTTTGAAGGTGCCCCTAAAATCCAAGTGCTGCAGTTCAGCCTCTGGTGATTTGGATAAAATTCCATTACAGTAGGTTTTGTTTGTTTTTCCTCACCTTTCAAATTTTTGTCCAAAGCAAACGGTGATGCTCCCTGTGGCCAGACGCGGACAGTCTGGGAGAAATGCTCCTCCCCGGCTGTTGGCCCCTCTTCTCTGGGGCAGCAGGCCCCTGGGCCTCGCGCACAGCGAGTGAGAGGACCGGAAGGTGTTCTGGGTTGGAGTGGAATGCATTCATGTTATAAAACAACTGGATTTCCCCCTTTATCGACTTTCTTCCAGAAGACCCACACACCCGTCTAAAAGTCCTGTAAACTTCATAGTGTATCTGCATAATAATGTCCCCACCCAGCCCCCCACAGAGCTCCCACGCCTCTGCAACTACAAACATTTCTACAACCTTGTGTATCTGAGCTTTTGTCTTTGTTTTCTTTTGCACTTTAATGTTGCCACAGAAACCTCCAAAGGCCCAGGCAGTCCGCGTTCCCACAGGTAGGACAAGGGCCCGCTGCCCGCGTCCTGAGAGCTGCATCACACCGCATCTCTTCTCATCTCTCCTGCAAAGGGCCTGTGTGTAGCCCATGTCTGTTTTCCTTTGGGTTGTCTTGTTTTGAGTGTGTACATTTCCTTTCTCTCTTAGGTATATGAGTCCTTTAACTTGATGCACAGCACATGTTTTCTCCCATTAATCTTCTGACTTATAACTTCCAACCTGCTTCTTAAACTTACATAAGTGTTTTTTAAATGTACTCAAAATTCTCCCTCAAGGCTCCCCAATTTCCTGCCCATCTTGCTAAGAAATTCTGTCCCATCCTTTTCCTAAGGAACATGTTCTAAGTTTCCTTTTATTATCTTTACCATTTTATTCTTGACAGTTGAGCATCTGATTTGGTTGGACGCTGTTTTTCCCGTATAGTGGGGGGGAATAAGGGGAATACACAATGTGCATATGCAGGCACCTCTACACAAGGCTCTCCTGTTGCTGGGCCTCAGGTTTCCACCTTCAAAATGAGAATGCCAAGGTACGTCCTGGGTTTCTTTGCATTGCTACTGCTCTGTTATTTAGCAGACGTTCCCAGACTCCAGTCCAGGGCTGTCTGTCCATCCACCAAGTTCACTAACCCCCAGACAAGCAAGGGGGATCCGTGGGAGGGCAGAGCTGGGACAGGACCCACAGCCCCCTCCTACCCGGTGGTCAGCTTGGGGCACAGGAACCTCACACTGGGGCAGGAGGTGGGTGTTGGATGGTACAGTTCCCAGCATGGCTCTAAGTCAGCCCAGGGCACTCAAGTACAGAACCGACCTCTGTCCCTAGAACCACGGCCCAGCCCTGCTGCCAGGGTGAGGGCCCAGCCTAGAGTCCAAAGGAGCAGAGGGTGTCCCTCAGGGTTTCACACCTTGGGCTTCCTTTCCCTGTAGGCCTCCACCTTCCACCTTCAGTGGCCTTGCACACACTGGGTCAGCTTCTCCTCCCAGCCGAACCCTAAACCCTCAACCCCTTGCCCCAGGAGCACAAAGTTCTGAAGGTGCTAACAGGTATAGACCCCTCCTTGCCATCCTCAGCCAGCTGGTTCCCACCCCCAGGGTCAGTCAGCATAGCCTAATGCTGGATAGGCATTAGATGGGTGCAAATAAATTTGCTTTTGATTCTCTACAAAAGTGGTAGCTTTTTGAACACAACTGTCCTGCCCTCTCCTTTCCTCAGTTAAAGCTACACCTGGCAGATGATTCCCAAGCAGTACACTGAGCTTCCTGTTACAGCTGCACTGTATCAGAGTTCGAATCTCAGTGTGGGTGTCCGCAGTTAGAGGGCCCATGACCAGTATGTGGGTGTGTGCTGTACTCGGTACGACTGTACACTTAGGCGGGCATCTCTGCAGGGAGAATGCACAGCTATGTGCTCTTGCCATTTCTAGACCTGAGTCCAGAGGTTTGTGGGAGGCTATGTTCATCCACTGCCCACTAAATATAGGAATGTCTGTTGGCCCACAGTCTCACCTGTGAGATCAAACTTGATGTTTGCAGCATCTGTTAGGTGAAAACCAAAAAGGCCCCTGGGTGCTTTTCAATCTGCCTTTGAGGAAGAGTAGAGCCAGTTCCTGTTCGTTTGCATATCCTTTCCTGGAATCTCCTCGGGTCTCTCTGGAGAGTGGATATTTTCTTATTGATTTGTAGGAGCTCTTTATTATAGGTCTGTGGGTAAAACTGTGACATTTCCAGAATATCTCGCGTGGCTTTAGAACATGTGCATATCAATAGGCATTCAGAGGTGGAAAGAAGTCTGGCTTCAGTGCATTTGCATCATTCCTCAGGGGTGGAGAGTTGTTCATCTCCATATCAGTGGGTAATTACCTGGGCAAGGAGGGCTTATCTGTACCCGAGAAGTGAGGGGAGGGCTGGTTTTTGGAGTCTTCTGGAGCAGGAAACAAACGGCCCCAGACTGCAGTTTGTGAGCAATACACGGATTTTAAACTTCATTTCTCCCTTTGACTGATTTCAGTTTTTAGAGGCATTTTGCACCGGGAATTCCTCTCCCGGGACTTACAGGTCTTATTAAGATTGGACCTTGGTTATACAAGTTGCAAGCATGTCCTCCCCGGCTTATGGCTTGTTTTTTGACTTTGCTCAGGAAGTTTTGCTCTGCAGAAAGATTTGACTTCCACGTCACTGAATTTCTCAGTCTTGCCTCTGTTAGGCAGGAAAAGGGGTATGAGCGGGGTGGAAAGAGAACAAGGTGCGTGAAGCCCCCTAGAAAGGACTCAGTTCACCAGTTAAAACTAGAAAGCCAGAAAGACTCAGAGTTAATGAGTTAATCAGTTAAAGCTCAAAGTGTCAAGGAGCAACTTGGCCTTGAATGTTTGGATATTACCCAGATACAGAGAAGTATGTGAGCACAGCCCGTGTCTTCATTGTGTCAATTAGCTCATTGTAAGGTTTACTCAAGCCTGCTAAAATGCCCACCGATGAACAGCATAATAAAGACGAAGATCCCACCTTAAAGCCAAAATTGCATTTTGAAAAAAACCCGGGAGGTTTATGAAGAAAGATTCTTCACATGCTCGTTAGCAAACAGGTAACTCTGCCCACCTTGGGGGAAGGGCAGACACAGTCTTGATTGATAAGCTAATTTTGCAGAATTACCTAGAGGACTGATAAGAAACTAATGTCTCATCGAGGATGCGTGGGACCACTTAACAAGCACACAGCCCAGCCCTCTGTCCCATTCCTGAAAAATCCATCATTAAAAGGGGGAACCCTGAACCATTCAGGGCGCTCCTCTCTCTCTCTCGGAGGTCGCCTGCGGTTCTTTCTAAGTAACTTCAAATAAAACTTTTATTCTGCTTCACTACCGTGTCTCTGCCCTTCCATTCCGTCGCTGTGGGGACAAGAACCGAGGAAAATACACAGCGTCTCTCCCCCAACACCTCGAAGGCCTTCCGGGTTTTCGATCATATTTAGAATCGCCTTCTCTTTTCCAAGACTTTGAAAAAGTTCCCCCAAGTTTACCTGTACTCCCTTGACCGTTTGCATCTCGCACTTACGTCCTTACGTGGAAGGCGTGCGATCTGTTTGCCATCTGTCCCGGTGTAAAGGGTGAGCGTGCCGGNGGAAACTAATATACTGGACATTTTAAGAAGGAATTTCAGCAAAAGGTGAACCTTAAATTAAGGACTATGGTTAACAATATGTGTCAATATTGGTTCATCAATATAAAAACCAGAAGATGTTAACAATAAGGAACCCTGGGAGGGGTGATTTGCAAAATTCTGTGTACTATCTGGTTGATTACTCCATAAATCTAAAACTGTACTAAACTCGTACAGTCTATTTCTTTTCTTTTTAAGGGGGAATTTCAAGACACTCTTGACTGTGATTCACCCCGGTTCACAGGGTCCAATTTGCGGCAGCTACACTGACCCAGAAGGAGCATTTGGGCCAAGATAGCATTCAGGAGCCTGGGACAGACATCTGGGCCCTCCACACAGGGAGGTCTGGTACTGCCAACCCCTCAGAACCCCCTGGCCTCACTCAACAGACACTCACAGTTAACGAGGATGTCAATTTTCCCAAACTCCTTTAGTCCCTGGTCCACGGCAGCTGTGATGGCTGCTGGAACTCAAACGTCCATAGATAAAGGGAGGCACCGCTGGCCAGTGGCAGAGGCCAGCTTCCTGGCAGCCTAGAAGCCGGACAGGAAGAGATAGGTAGGCAAGTGTTCTTGTCCTGGACGAAAAGCCTTTCAGAGCCTGCTGAGGATGACGTGTCCAGGTTCTGCTGGGAAGCTGGACCCCACTCTGCGGATGCGCAGCTGACAAGTGGTGACTTCCAGGGGTCAGGAGCCCTGGTAGGCATTTCCAAGACATCCCACACTCCCTCCCCTACCAACCTGCCCCAGGATCCCCGCTCTCCATCACCTCCCAGGCATTGGTCACTGGTCACAGGTTAATGGCACCCCAGCTGACTTCCAGTCCCTGCCCAGAAACCAGCTGTGGCAGCAGTGAGACTCTCCTCCCCGTGAGTGGGACACACACGGACCACCTTATAAGCCTGGTGAGCTGCAACACTTCTCTTGGGTCCATAATGCCACCCAACATGAGGGCCCCTTCTCAGGACCCACTCATCCAAATTTTTTTATAGCCCCAGATGTCTCTGGGAGGCCAGTTCCACTGAAGCTCCATATTTGGAAAGGAGCAGGCTTTGGTGTCAACATTCTCTGGACCCCATAGCCACCCACGGACAGGGTGGGCACAGGAGAGACCCCTCACCACTGAAACTCTTGGAAGGCTTCTGCTGGCGATAACTGTATGGCAGCCGTGCCTGCAAAGCCAAAGGGTGGGTGCGAGGGACACATCAGGTGGGCTCCTGCCTGCTCTAGCAGAACCCCCTCCCTCAAGGCTCCTGGGCTGAAGCACCAGCCCAGGGGTGAGGGCACAGCTGGCAGAGGAGACAGGCCCTGAGCAGGGCTGAGTGGCTGTGGCAGGTAGGGGTTCAGGTTTCTGGCCAGGCCTCTCTGGCACAGGCATCTCGGCCACACAGGGATGCAGGCCCTGCCCGAAACATGTGCATAGCATCAAAGCAGCCAGGAGCCTAGGATTCAGGGTCCAGGCATCTGCATGGGGCCTGCTGGGTCTTCCTGGCTCAGTCCCACGTGTCCCCGACATCCCCTGCCTTCGAGGTTGAAGTGAAGGAGAGCACCCCTTCTGAGGTCAGGGTGCATTCCCTGCCTCACCCCCTGACAGAAGTAGCCATTACCTACTAATCAGGCCCCATCTACTCCTGCAGACGACCTGAGAATGGCTGGCCACGCTCTGCTCACAGAAGCAACATACACAAAGCTGCCAACTTAGAAAACGAGTTCACCTGGTTTGGCTGAATCCCAAAAGCTCATCCAGTGGGACTTACCTCTGGTATGAAGAGTGGGTGGCTGGGCTAAACTGGGGAGGAGCCCCAGTTGATCAATAGGCCCCCTCTGTTCCAACCCGGCCTACCTCTGGGCCTCTCTCCCAGGTGAGTATGTCTCCCAGCAAACACAGTGCTGACGTGAGCCTGAGGCCACAGAGCTTGGGTCCCAACAATGTGTCAAGGTCAACTTGTCCACCCCAACCCTGGCTCCGAGAGGGCCCAGGGAGCCCTGCGCTACGGCGACCTCAACCTGGTGAACCCTCCCTCTTTGTACAAATGGGGGTGCTGAAGCCAGAGCCCCACCAGCTGGACTAACCTCTCGGAGACCCCGGAGTCTGACCTCCCCCAGGAGGGCGTCTGACCCCTCTCGGCGCGCTTAGAGGGTTCCCGCCGTCCACCAGCAAGTTGCCCAGGGAGCCCAGGATCCAGTGGGATCCCTACAAGGGGCGGGGGAACAAGGCAGCGCTCACCGCATGAAAACCTCAGCGATCCGCAGCCCGGTCCCCGAGCCGCCGCCGGTGATGAAGGCCACTTTGTCCCTGCGAGAAAACCCCGGCGGCCCTTGAGACGCCCGCTAACGCGGCCGACGCGAGGCTCTGGCCTCTGGCCCCGGCGCTGGTCGACGAGGACGTCGCAGGACTTTCGGTGAAGAGAAGCTGAAACGCCGCCTGGCAGAGCCTGCGCGCTGCGGCGATTCCCAGGTTCTGCTCCAGCCCCAGAGCCTCTACTCGGGGCCTTACAACGAGCTGCGGGCGACGCCCGCCCTACAGGCGCCCCGCACGCGCGCTCCCGCCCCGGCCCGGAGCGGCGGTGCGGTGGCCCCGGGCGCCTGCCGCCTCACCGGGGCAGGTGGGGGCAGAAGAGGTGGCGGCACTCGAGGAGGCAGTCGTCCTCCTCCACGCCGGGCGGCGGCTGGGCCATGGCGCTCGGCAAGCGCGG